ATAGAGCAGGGCATGTTCTGATCAAATCCATTACAAAAACTTACTGCGAAAAAAGAATTTGACACTTTTGAAATGCCTAAAGTTACATAAGTTTTCAAAGGCCAGATGTAAAGATTTAAAAGCCAGATGCTATGAACAGACTTGCATGCACCCCATCTAGGTGCGGTCTTACAATTTTTGCAAGATCCCAAGACGAACTCGAGAGCTCGGAAAGTTCTCACAAACGGAGAGCCCCCAATACCGAGAGTCCTCAGCCGAGCAAAGATCGACCTGGTCGAGCCATTCGATCAGCAGCAAGAGTTACGCAGCGCTGCATCCAACTCCAGGACAAGTGATGACAATACAGCCCAGTCAGGTACCATGTGTCCCATAGGTGAAGACAAAATAGAACTTGAACGACATGTGGTAGATCTCGTTGCGGACAAACATGGTCCCAAAATGTTGGCACTTACCCCAGAAGAGAAAAGTTGGGTGATCAAAGTCCATCGCAACATGGGCCATCCTCATGCAGCCAAGCTCAAACAATTTTGTCAGCAACTCGGTTGTCCTTCACACATTCTTGAGGCACTTGAGGACCTTCGATGCTCCACCTGTTCGGAAATGAAAAGACCAGACCTTGCCAAACCAAGTGCTATTCATGAAGAGCTTGATTTTGGGGATGTCATCGGAATAGATGGAATAAAGTGGACCAATAGTGTGGGCAAACAATTTTTCTGTTATCATTTTGTGGACCAGGGGACGACCTTCCAGACAGCAGTTAGAACTGAGAGCCATGCCACAACAAATGCCATCCAAGCACTAGTCCAAGGATGGATCCGCTGGGCCGGTCCACCTGGGACCCTCGTGGTCGACGCAGGTACAGAATTCTGTACCGAAGGTTTCCATCAGTTCCTGCAAGAGCATGACATTCGACTCCGCATGATCGCACCCGAAGCCCACTGGCAGAACGCTAGAGTCGAACGACATGGGGGCATTCTTCAAGCAATACTAGACAAAATGGATAAAGAAAAAGCCATTTGCACCATGGAAGAGTTTGACACCGCATTGTCGTTTGCCACACAGACCAAAAATAAATGGTCCCGTCACAAGGGTTATCCACCAGAAATGTTAATCTTTGGGAGGATGAGCAAGGTCCCAGGCTCTATAACAAGTGACATGTCGAATGCTGCTCATGATTTGGCCCTTCAGAATACTGCCGACGGCATCAAATTTCGTACCAAGCTGGCCATCAGAGAAAGTGCTCGGAAAGCATTCTGCGAAGTGGATAACTCCCAGTCACTTCGGAGAGCGGAACATCAGCGTTTGTTTTAGGGTTTTAGGGTTTGTATGTACTAATCATCTTATATATAATATGGGTCTTCGCCCCGCGTGGTGCTTGTGCCCAGTTTGCCGTGAGCATCCCACGTCCAATGCGGACAGTGTATCACCCGGGTGATTGGATCATGGTGTGGCGAAAAGACAACAACTGGTTCGGGCCGTTGAAGATCATCCTTCAAGAGGACAAGAACGTCATTTGGGCAGTGCTAGGTAATAGACTCTTCCGAGTGGCCCCCGAACATGCCAGACCTTTGTCCGCAGTCGAAGAGGTCCAACACTGGAAACGAAACGACCACCAAGACATGCAAGTTACGTTAGACAATCTTCGATCCGGAAATACAAGGTTTGCAGACTTGTCCAACCCCGAAGTGACGATACCTCCACCAGTAGCAATAACCTCGAATCAAGAAGAAAGTATTGAACAACCAGATCAAGAACCAGGCGTCCCAAATCAGCTTGATGTATCCCAAACAAATTCCGAACAAGAATATACCCCTACAATTCCAGACAGACCGGAACATGAGAGTGCCCCGCCAGCACCTGAGAACATCCCCATTCCAGAAGATGGAGATGAGGATTTGTTTTGTGAAGCATTCAACTGCGACGGCGAAGGACAGGCCTGGAGATTCGAAGTGGACATTGAATCTAGGGATATTCAAATGTGGAGACAAGAACCTCAACCAGCAGAACTAGCATTCCTCGTATCCGCCTCGAAAAGACAGAAAACAGAAGTGAAGCTTTCCAACTTAACACCTGCCGAAAGAAGACTGTTTGATGAAGCCAAAGCCAAGGAAATTCAGAGCTGGTTAGATACACAAACGGTTTGTCGTATCTTACGCCACAAGATTCCCCAACAGAACATCTTACAGTGCCGGTGGATTTTGACCTGGAAGAATGCCGACGATAACACACATCTAAGTGCCGACAGCAAGAACGTGACCTCCCGAAAAGCCAAGGCACGCCTGGTAATCTTAGGATACCAGGACCCAGAACTGAGCAACCTTGAGCGGGACAGTCCCACATTGACCAAACTGTCCAGGAATCTATGGTTGCAAATGCGCGTGTCCAATCGCTGGGAGATCGGAAGTTTTGATATCAAAACGGCCTTCTTGAGAGGCCGTGCTGACTCTCGGATGCTTGGACTCGAACCACCGGAAGAACTGCGAGCCAAGCTTGGCCTTCGACCGAATGAGGTGTGCCAACTGCTTAAAGGTGCATATGGTCTAGTCAATGCACCTCTATTGTGGTTCCGTGAGCTATCTAAGGCATTGATCAACCTCGGATTCCAGCCAGCACCTTTCGACCCTTGCAGCTTTATATTGTTTGATGAAAACAACAGGACAAGAGGTTTCATCGGTGTACATGTTGATGATGGTCTTTTTGCGGGGGATACTGTGTTCCATGGAAAAATCAATGAACTGGAAAACCTCTTTCCATTTGGAAGTCGCAAGAGACGCAATTTCGTATTTACTGGTCTCCAAATCAACCAATATGAAGATTACTCTATTCATGTTGACCAGACTCAATATGTTAAGGACATCAACCCAATCAACATCAGCAAAGACCGTAGAAAGTTGCTTGAAGAACCGATCAACGACCAAGAACGCCAAGACCTTCGAGGATTGATAGGTAGCCTGCAATACGCCGCAGTAAACACCAGACCCGACCTTGGCAGTAGACTCAGCTTCCTACAGGGAAAAATAAATAACGGACAAATTCAAGACCTCGTCGAAGGAAACAGGTTACTTCATGATGCCAAAGTCCATGCCGATGTTGTCTGTAAGTACCGAGTCATCCCGTTAGAGGACGTTCGATTCGTAGCCTTCTCTGATGCTTCCTTTGCATCTGAAAAGATTCAATCATCCCATCAAGGTCTAATGATCATGGCTGCCCATCAGGATATTGGTAAGAACAAAAGAAGTGTGGTCAATCCCCTCCTTTGGTCTTCAAAGAAAATCCAAAAAGTGGCAGTGAGCACCTTGTCGGCTGAAGCCATGGCTTTAGCCGGGGCCATGGACATCCTTGCATGGTGTCGACTGTACTGGGGGTGGCTTAGAGACCAAAGTTGCCAATGGAGGTTAGGTGACAAGACCTTGTCCTCACTCCCGCCAGCCTTCTCGGCATTTAAAGATGAACCAGACCTTGTTGATCCCAACCAATCCCTAAGTGAAAATCTGATGAAACTCAAGGAAATTGGAAGACTGGATTCCCTAGTGGCCACGGATTGTAAAAGCTTGTTTGATCTTGTCAGTCGTACAGCACCACCAGCTTGTCAGGAGTTCAGGACACTTCTCCAGGCCAGACTGGTCAAAGAGCACCTGGCCACCGGTGTAATTGCACGCTGGGTCCCTTCAAGCGCTCAAGTGGCTGATAGTTTAACGAAAATTATGGATACCACCACTCTCCGGGAACTAATGCACATAGGCCGGTATCAGCTCAAAGACGAAGAAGAAATTCTTCGCCATAGATCAGACAAGAAAGCCAGACTCAAATGGATTCGCAGTCACGAACCAGCAGTCACGTCAGAGCTTGAATGAGGGAAAAGCCAAGACGTCCCCATTCGGCAATGAGCGAATGATGATGCGAAAGCCACCCAAGAAATTCACAGAGTTGCAAGTTTTTGTTTGTTTGTCGCTTTGCTTCAGAGAGCCAACGAGGATTGGCCAAATCTTGTACAATCTTGTTTGGGGCCAATAACGAGATTGGATTGCAAGAGCCTTGCAGAGCATGGGGAACTTATTCTGGAGAATAAAGCATTTTGCATAGGGGAAAGACTTGCAGCAATGTCAACATGCTCGACAAAATTTTAATACAGGGAATGTCAATTTTGGCCTTGCAGTATGTCACATGTTGACCAAGATGCGTCGTTCGCCACCGCCACAGACTCAAGGGTGGGTGGGTGGCTGTCCGTTCGTGCGAGCCATAGGAAACGACCGTCGGAGCATCACAGGGCTGGTGTTGGAAAAGGGAGCGGTCGCTTAGGCTACGGTGGAAGGGAAGCAGGAGCTTCGACCATTTTGTGCAGGGCACCTTTGTTGAACAGGGATTTCAACCAGGAGAATTCATACACCTTTTTGCTTGTTCGCGAGAGTCCAATCACCGGCTGTCTCCCTACCAAGTCGAAGCCGGTGTGGTTTCGATAATAAATAATATATATATATATACACACTATATATGCACTACATACTGCGCGTATCTGCGCGTCAAACTCTACCAACAAAGCGTCGTGCCAACCTGGGAGCTCTCTTTCAGCTGAGCTGCCAGGAGTGCCAAAGTTCGTGGAGCACGCGCCATGTTGCTGACTTTGAGGTGCTGTGATGCCCTCGAGCTGCACGGCTTCACTTCATGTCTTCAACTGTCAGAGCCAACAGTTCAAAAAGGACAAATGACAAAATGACAAGTAAATGAGGTGCACAAAGCAAGGCTTTTGGGTTCCTTTCGAAGGGGGCCTTATTTAAAGGGTCATAACAATCCATCACGTTGGCAAAAAGCGCTCAGCAAGGAACCACCTCGGTCCGAAGTGGTCACGCCATTTTGGATCTGCGGTCCCAAGGCCGGGAAGCCGTTAAGCGACGCCCTCGACACGCTAAGCTACACTTTGGAAGCCACCCCGTATTTGGGAGAATCGCATTCGAACCGAACCACTCGTGATCCAAGCTCACAAATAGCCTTTCAGGCTGGAAGAATGACCCACCCCAGGGTTCATCGAATTTGTGGGATCAATTCTCTTCCATCTCTCTTGTGTGCTGCAAGGTGCTTCGTATTCTGTCCCATGGCCATGCTCTGCTGGAAGTTTCCCTCCTGCTTCATCAATGACCTGTTTGATTCGCTTCTTCACTTCTTTCACGTCTACATCATTGGAGAGCATGAGGCTCTCGTGAAAAACGTTGCATCCGAAGTGTGAGCATAAGCAGCGCATCTCAATGTCACAATCTTTGGGCATCTCCAGAATGCGGTCGAAATTCTTTGGCATTGCGTAGTCGATGATGAGGCCCTGCCGCCCTTTGCCCACTGTGATGGTCTGAATGGATGGCTGCACGGCAAATCTGAACAGCATCACCCTGGACTTCTCGAAGGCCTGTGTCAACAAAATTGATGTGGAACTACCGATTGACCAGGCAAGGAGGAAAACAAGCGCAGCAGTTCAGCAAAGAACCTTCAAAAAAGCGTGCGGGGATACTGATACTTATATAACAAAACCCCTTTACAGTTGTGGGTTTGTCAAGAGGCTGTTTGAGCCTATGCATCCATCCAAGCCAGAACGAAACATGCTGTTGTTTTTTGAAGGTAAGTTGCATCTTGGCACACATAGCATGAGATGTCTCCAGGATTCAATGCCAGCTGCCGCTGCAATCGCTCATCCAGTTGCTTCAGCTCCCCATTTCCAAACCTGAACAACCAATTCCTACAGAAACTTAACTGCATGATCTGTACGAGAACCGATGCCAAAGATCCTTTTGATTACCGCCCGACAACAAGCCGGCGCTTGCCAGCTACCTGAAGTTCGTGAACACGATTGTAACACGATAGATGGATTTAAATGGGGCTCAAGGGCGCTGGCAAGCTTTTAACCCGCTTGAAGCCAAGCCACTCGGTCATCTCCATGATGAGGTGGTGGTCGAACTTTCGCCCCTGCTCCATCAACGGCTTCGGCAAAGACTCTGGAATCGCCGAGTTCAAATACCACAAGAGCTTGTCCTCACATGTCACAAACTTGTGGCACAAAATTTGTCCCTCCAACTCAGTGCAACTCACTTCTTTCGCCCGTTTTTTTGTTGTTGGCTCTTAAAGGTATTTTTTGTCTCAGTTGTCTCATGGGGTGCCATGAAAGTCTCAATTCAGTGGGACAGCGAACCCTCTTGTCGCCCCCATCAAAAGGGCCAACACCTGGGCCAAGCGGCTGCAATGATATTGACGAAAGGCAGCGGTAAAGATTCAAACCTTGGCTGACAGGCACTTTGAAGTGGACCAAACAAAATCCAACAAACTGCACCGAAGAACGATCGTATTGTATTAGAAAGAATTTGTATATTGAAAATACAGAGGAGGTAAACAAAAAGAAGGTGTTTGGGTCCCTTTAATAAGGTACCCTTTAAAGGTGCCGACTTAAAGGGAACCACAAATCGCCTTTTCCTATCCTTTTCCATCTACATAAATTAGAAATAAACTGCCAACCAGGAGCTTCAGCTTGAAATTCCACAATGTGCCTAAATTCGACATGCCGACCATCTCGATCAGCTTGATGATGCCACGGCCTCCTTGGTCAACACAATCAAACTGCTCCCGGCCCATGTACTCGAACTGCTTGGGCAAGCAATTAGGTGAAGCGAGCCTCGGCAAAAGAGCATCTTGAGCTATCTTCGGCATCAGCCGAAAGCATGCCAAGGCCCAGTTGCAATCTGCGAACGGGCCGCCCCATGCCAAAACTTCTCAGAACAAACAGTGCGCTACAAAACGCACAACATCAAGGGATACCAAAGGCGCATTACCGCCGCTGAGAGGCGCCACCTTCTGCTTGATGTGGTTGGCGGTGGCAAAGTCTTTGCAGGACACCCACACCATCTTGCTCTCTTGAGGCATTGGGAAGGTGTCGTGTATAGTGGCCTCAGCATGCGAGGCTTACTTCTCAGAAAGAGCTTTGGGTCACTTATATAACCAGTAATTTGCTGGTGCGGAGTGTTTTTGTGGGCAATTGCCACCTGCATCCAAGCACTGCCTCTATAGCATTGGGCACAACAGGCAAAGACCCATGCTCGAACGACTGGCTCAAATCGTGCTACCTCCCTCTGTATCTGTTGAGCCTCTTTCAATTTGAAGTCTCGAAACTCAAAGAAATGATTGCAAATTTCCTTAGCTCTTCATGATTCATCTGAGCTGCTAATATGAAGACCTTGCCTTCAGATCGGTTGCAATCTTCACCAGTGAGATCTGCGTTGTATCGGGACACCTGCCCATCCAGCTTGGTCAGGTGCTGCGGGTACTTTGGCCACGACGCTGCTCGGGTGCATTTCGCATCCATGTCTTTGCTCGACAACGCCTGGGCATTGTCCTCAGTGCCGAAGAATGAAGAAACACACCTGGACCGGGTATTGGACCAATTTGGGCACATCTGTACCATTGTACCATACACACACAGCTATATATATATATTACATGCGCAACATATGAATTTGAATTGCCAACCATTGCTTCTCAGATTGAACAATGTCTTCACGGGGACAGACCTGATGGCAAGCAACGAGGAATGCAACGACGTCCTCGTGCGCGTTGAGGCCCAAAGTGTTCACCTCGATTTGGTTGGCTGGAAGGCGCATCGACGTTGGCCTGTGTCAAAATCCCTGTCTGTCCGTGCCTGCATTGACATGCGGCCCAAGATTTCTTGCAAAACCTTCTAAGGACAAAATCATCAAGCTGCATCAAGCTGTCTTCAACCCTTGGCAATCCTCGATAGATATACTATACATTGCATGTATACAATGACCATTGACAGCTGAATTCCTGACAATGTGCCAGCTTGAGCTGCCCATTGGCATCCACACGGCAGTACAGCGCACGATTGGTAAAGGCCGGACCCTTGTGGATCTGAGTGCCACCGCTGCCAAAAGCCACACCAGCTGCTACCGAGGGGTTCAGGAAAATAGAGCCCAGTACACTGTGGGAGTCGCGGTTCAAAGGCTTCCTCAAGAAATGCGTTACACTACCAAACTCATCTGGCAAGTTCAATCCCACAAATCCACAGTATCTTTAAAAGCTCACACCAACAACCTGACAATTGAACCGACTCAAACCAAATTCATCCAAAAAGGACTTTGAAGATGCGCTGAACTCCAATATACAAAAATGAGGCACATCCACAATGTTGCAGTCATTACTTAACGAGACAAATACGCAGCCAGTCACCGCATCCCTCAAACTCATTCAAAGTGCAATGTCTCTTGCACGCTGAAGATGCCAGCCCCTGCAAAGCACAAGACCTGCTTCGCTTCGTCACCGATGGGCAAAATCTTTTGCAGCCGTTGCGTGCCTGGCTCCGCCAAAACCAACCCCTATGGTTGCTTCATTACTGTGCTGGCAGTTGGTCTTGGATATCAGCAGCTGGGGGCACAATAGGATCGCAGTGTTGAACATCGGTGATATGATATGCTTGTAGGATCTTGTAGGTGACTATGGATGTTTCAATCTTTCGCGCTCTCTCTCTCTCTCTCCCCCTCTCTCTATCTGCATAGTCTAGCTGTCACCCATGTCATGTGTTAGAGGCAAACAGACTGCGTATCCGAGGGTCTAATCACCACCATGGGCCGATCACACGGTCGTGGGACTGAGCCACCAGTGATGCCTGTCTTGGCACCTGACAGGTGCGCGCTGTATCACTGTATCACCCTTTAACGGCAAAAGAATTGCAAAAAGCGCCCGCTAGCAATAGTCACGAAGTTGGACAGTAACAACTTGGAATCGGAAGTGGGTTGATTCCAGCAATCATGTGGAGAAGTCTTACCCAAGAGGCAATATCAATATCATTCAACCCATCTTAGATGTTCCAGACCATGCGTGCAAAGGCAAAGGGGGTCAGGCGCGCCTTGTGGAAGAATCGCCACCTCCGCATTGAGACAAGCTTCTAAAACCTTCATCGTCTCTTGAAGGGTTCCAGGACGGACTACCACCATGGCATGGCCTTTCCCTACCATAGTGCCGGTCTCCTCTGCACGAGTGCGCTGAGTGATATATACTGATGTGGCGACACCCTCGAATCGAGAACCTATCTTAATCTGCATGTCATGGTCGACAAGTTGTCCACGCGACTTTGTCCTCACTGTTGCTACTGCCCCTACTTCCTTCTTTAGATAGTTTTGCAGATTCAGCCCTGGAAAACGTACAGTCATAGTCTTAGAGATGTCATCTCAAGCATCTTCCCCCACATGGCAGATCTCCGTAACGTTCTCTACCACGTGCTGCTTCCCTACCTTGGCCGTAAGCAGACTCCAGGAGGCAAGATAATCAGAATAAGGTCGTGAGTTTAGTTCCACAGGTCTTTCGATTGTGATTGCCAAGTCGCAATACCCCTGAGCTCATTTGGCAGTGCTTGCTGCTTTGGGGTGATCATTTCCTGCCGTGACAGAGCTCGTCACCACAGCTGCATCCCAAAGCTTCCCCTCCCCCCCCACGCTTCGCCGCGGCTCGGCCGTCCCGGCCTCACAACAAACTCGAAACCCTGCACCCGGGAGCTGCCGCTCTCGCAGTTGGCCATCCATGCGCGACAGTAAGTAGCCTGCCCCGCAACCCACCAGGCCAGCACCACAAACGGCACGGAGGCTAAAGCTCCTCTGGCAGGCAGTGCGTCAATAGAGCCAAGCAACTACGCCGCTTGAAGTTTGGAAGGTGTTTTTACAGTCTCGAAAGGCCAAAGGCACACTAACGCACCTTTTCTCAGCTCGAACAAGAAATGCCTCCATATTGGGCATACATGGTATTCACATCACTTCACAGACTCCCCCTCCGCCACTCTGGCGGATTGCATGGACATGGAGAAAAGTCCAAAACACAGGGCTCAAGGCATTCAAGTTCTCTTAGAGCTTTTAGCTCTATAGTATTCGGCTCGCATCTTTTCAGCCGACCATCCTTTGCCAGCATTGTCATGCTGGAAGCGGTTCCAAGGATTCGTAGGAACCGGCTCACTCCTCTGGCTTCTCTGATGGCTCGCCTGCGCGTTCGCCACCAGGTTCATCGGAGTGCTCGGCTGTGCCACCACTTGGTGCAGCCTTGCAGAAGCTGCTATCGCTTGCTCAGCGACTTGCCCAGCCATCATGGCTTGTTCCGCGGCCTGCTCCGCGGCTTGAGCTGCCAGCTCTGCACTTTCGGCCGCCTTCTCAGCTCCTTCGGCCGCTGCACAAGCTGCTTGAAGAGCTCGTTCACTTGAAACACTCAGTGAACTAGAGCCCTCGCAGCTCCCCTTCTTTTCCAGCGATCGTGCCATAGAACTCCGCCGTCTCATAGTCCCCTTTTCTTTTTCGACCCTCAAATCGTCATCACGACCCGGGCCCTCTACCAGCATGGCTTCGGCTGCATCGAAAGAACACCCATCAGCCTCTTCTTCAGTTGCTGACTCACTTTCCGCAGCCTTCCTCATTCTGGTAGTAGAGCTCCGCATTCTTGGTCGCATCAAACGCGAGGATGTAGTCAGGATCCTTTCTTCAGCCCCGGGTTCATCGTCTAAGCCAGGCACCTCGCTAGACAGTACTTGCAATCGACGAAGGCAGCAACGCACTGAAGTGCAGGCCGTCTTCACTACCCAGATTGCCCCAATCACCACCAGCATTAGGCCACAAAGCCATAGACGTCCAAAGGCTGTATCCATATCTTGCTCCCCTTGCGCTTCAGCGGCTTGAACTAACAATCCACCCACCAGCAGCATCCGTAGAGCTACTTGATGGTCTTGTGCTTGAGGCGGCAAACTGCCACCAACCAGGCTCTTCACCTGGGGCCCACTTTTCATGCCCAGGTCTCGCTGAAAGCCTTCAAAACTTTGCCCCATCAGCGGCTTTGTCATGCCGTCCGCCACCAACTCAGTCCCCTTGAGGTGGTTGAGCTTCCATGCACCGCCGGGAAAGGACGGCTGTCCTTCGATAGCTTCCCGAAGGATGTTTGAACGGACTCTCAAATGCCTCGTCCGCCACGAACTGCTGCTGTTCCCATGAGCAAGGCCAATTGCCGCAGCATGGTCCCCATAGATCACTCGCTCAAAGGAGTTTGCCGTCAGCTGCTCCCCCCACATAGCACATAGGAGTGCCTCCGTCGCTCTTCCTGCCATCAAAGCCTCACAGTACGAAACCAACTCGGCTTCTGCAGTGCTGTGGCAAACGAAAGGTTGGGTGGAGCTCTGCCATGCAATTGGGGCACCAGCAAAACATAGCACTAAGCCTTGGATGCTTTTGTAGCCACTACCAGTGCCGTACGCGATGTCCGCGAATACTTCCAGTAGGCGTTCATGCCGTTGGACTTTCAATTGATCTCTGGCTCCCCACTTGTTCTGGATGTTCTTGGAATAGTGGAGGCCACCGGGATTGCCCTTCACATAGGCCAACAGTCCATACCCAAATTCGATCGCCTTGGCCGGGTTCCGAGTGACCAGTCTGCTGATCGCTGCAACACCGAAGGCAAGATCCGGCCTCGACCTTGTGGATAACCATAACAGGGAGCCAGCCATGGCCTGTGCTTCACGGACTTGATTCCTGTCGATGTCGGGCTGCTGCTCACCATCAGCCTCACTGACCTTGAAGTTGGGGAAGGTTGTGGAAGTATTGACATTCCACCTGGTTAGCAGCTCCTGCTCATACTTGTTTTGAGCAATGTGGAAACCATCTCCCCCTTCATCTGGAGAAATCTCAAAGCCACAGAAGTGGACCGCTGAAGTAGGTGAGGCCCACTCAATGTTTGACGTGGTCCATGTGGACTGCAGAGAACTTAGGGCGGCGTTCACCGTAGCTTCTTCACCCGGAACTAAGATGTCATCCACATAGACGGACATCAACCCAGTCCAGTGCGTCACACCAGAATCAATGTCAACCTCCTCAATCCTCCACAGGTTCTCATCCTCCGTCTTGATGAAGTGACCTCTGACTCTCTTGGCCTGATTATTTTCCATCCTCACCCTAACCCAACTGATAACCGGCAGGGTGGGGTCTCTGTATTGGGACCAGTCCCGTGGAGACGTAGTGAGCCCGTACATAGCCAGACGCACCAACCACACTTCACCCTCCTTGGCCAGACCCATGCGACGATAGACAGCAGGGATCTCCATCGCGACCAATTTGCCATCTTCGCGACGAGGGGCATTCAGGAAAGCAACGCGGATGTCAGTGGCTGCTATTTGCCAATCCTTGAGAGCCGCGGTCCTCACCAACGCCCTCACCTGACATCCATCAGCTCCTCCAGCGTAGCAGTCTCCGTCAAACCTGGTCTCAGAGTAGTTGCCACAGCACACGGCGCGAGCTCGCCGAGTACCGGTCCCAGCTTTTCGGGTGTACACCATCTTGGCCAGGAGCAGCTCTATTGTCTTTCCCTCCTCAGCTGCACGGGCTCTCAGGGCCTCCTTTGTGATCTGCTCTACAGCCTGCTTCGTTGTGACCAATTGTCCGTGCTCTGCCGAGATGGCCGCAGCCCCATTCTCAAAGTCATCCATGACTTCCTTTGTGCTCACCGTCCTGGTTACCAGGAACTCCTCTTCCATCTCCTTTTGATCGATCATCCGATCCTCATGGTCTGCTCTGAGGAGAGTTTCTTCTACTTCAAGCTTTTGCATGATCGCTTCCGTGAGGACCTCCATATAGCAGCCTTGATCTTGGTTGGTCACATCGACCAGTTGCATCTCCTCCCCGATGTACTGCGCCAAGTTCTCCTGAATTCGTCGAAGGATTCGAATCTTAGCTTGGGGAGCCTTCCCAACAGCCCTTTGCCTTTGTGGGGCCACCAGGCGTGAGCCACCGTCCTGGTTGTTAGGCGCCCCCTCCCACCCCCCTCCTCCATGCCAGTCCACCTCCTTCAAACCCTCATCATTTTGGGTCTGTTGGGAGGCTTCCCGATTCCCCTTCACTGGAACTGGACGAGGTTCGTTCAGGTGTTTCAATAGTCCAGCTGTCGATCAGCCGCCGGGACCACCACATCATCCGTGTAGAAGAACTTCTTGGTCTTCAAGGACTGCACATAGTAGTTTGTGGTGGTCATAGACGACTGCAAAGCGGGACCTAGCACCACCACTTCATCACGTAACTCTCGCCATGGCTGATATCGATCTTGCCATGACTTCTTGAGGGCATATGCCCGGGCACCAAATTGCAACAAGGGGCCCACTGGAAAACCCATCCTTCTAAGTTGGCTACGAAGGCGACGTTCCCCAACATGAATCGCGGCAAGCGGCCACATCTCCAGACCAAGGCCTCTGGCTGTGAGGATGGTACGGACATGCTTTTTCACAACCCCCAGTTCACCTTCAACACGACCATTGGACTTGTAGCTGCCACCAGATGTCAAAGTCGTAGTGATGCCACGATCCAGCGTCCATCGACGCACTGGTGCTGAGATCAGTTCTCTAGCTCGATCGCAATGAATGCGATATAACGGAAGACCCAAGCTTCTCAGCTTGGCATAGATCCTTGCCAAAGCCGGCAAAATGTGGTGAACAGCACGGCCAGACAAGGTCTCCACAAACGTGAGGTTGCGGACCATCACATCTTGTTTTTCCTCCACCTTCGCCCGCCATGCTTCCAGAGCTTCACGACCTTTTCGTGCTGCTCCTTCATCCTCCTCCGGAGCCTCATATGGTTCTTCACCCATCATCTCCTCCCCTGGGTCTTCGCCACCTGGTTCGGAAGGTGTATATTCTTCCATGTCGATGGATGGCACAGGAGGTACCGCTTCAGCCGAGGAACCCACCCCAGTTTTGCTACCCGTGTTCACATCTGCCAACGCACGACCTGAACTATCCACCGGAAAGGTGTAGACTGCCACCATCATGTACTTACAGTCCTGACGATGTTGATCCTGCCCAACCACCATTTTACCGGAGAGGTCCACACTCAACGTAAAGGCCTCCGGGTGGCTGATCCTCTTGTGCGGCTTGCTTCGAGCTGCAGCTTGTACACACTGTTTGCAGTCTCTTCGCGCAGGCATGTGGTCGTGCAAGTAGTGTTGTCTCCAGCTGTCCAGGGCTGTTGCATTTAACGGGCGGAGCGCTGCTTCTTGAGATGGATTGATGCCACGTTTCAAACGGTCTTGTAGGGCCAGCACCAAAGCCACCTTGAGACCAGGAGCCCATGCAGCCCACTGCTTGGAGTCATTGCACCTCTCTTGCATCGTCATCTCACGGCGATCTTGAGGTAGGCCTTCAGGAGCGATGCCACGAGGTGGTCCACGGAGCTCATTCAACACCTGAATGTCTCGGAGACCAGCCACCGCCAAAGTAGTTGGCTTCTTCTTTGAATGACCCATCGGACCTTGGTCAAAATGAAGCAACTGGACCTCATAGATCCTGGCAAATGCTTGCCACTCATCAGTACGCCAGACCGACATGAACTGCTTCTCCTGCACTTCAACCTCCGGTCTATACCTTGCTGGGTCTTCAGGCTGTTCGACGGCCAATGCTGTTTGAGGTTCATTTGGAAGACGGACCTCTTCACATAAGATGTACAGTGCCAGCATCCTGAACCATAAAACACTGTCGCCCACCACCAACTCCAAATCCGACGAAGACAGAGATGGCACACCATAGGGAAACTGCTCTGTTCTCAAGATGCCTGGCCCCCCATCATCCTGATACCGAAGGGCCGAAACTGTTCGACATGGTGGACCTCCCACCACAGCCTTGACACGGCCTGATGCCGCCAGTGCAAGCAGGTACATGAAGACATAGTTGTCATGCAAGTCCGCGGGAGTGTCCGCTTGAAGGTCAACACATAGAACCTCCACACCATCCTGCTGCAGAGTCCTCTCCCAGTATTTGGTGTCTGGGCCTGAGAACAGATGCACCGCAATCTGCCTGGCACGTTCCAGCCTCCTTCGCCTTCTCCGGTTCCAAGGAAGCAGATGACCATCAAATCCTTGGGACAACTGAGCCATGTCCGGAACGACCTTCATCAAGATATCGTCCGGTAACAAGGGAAACATTGACTTCAGCTTCACCGTCAATGCGAGCTCCGTTGAATCACCCAGCGAGCTCAACTCCCCCGGCTCAGGATTCTCCAGCAACGTCTTCACCATCAGGGCTTTCTTGACGAGGCGAACTTGGCGTTGCTCAAGCCGATCAATCATCTCACTACCCAAAGCACGGGAGACCATAGGGCATCCATGCTGGAGCGTCACCATAAGCTCCTGACCTTTCTCATCCCGAAGTCCACACTGAACTCCCTTCCACTCGACCTTGCAGCCGAGCTCAGCAATACCACCCATAGGGACGATCCACGACTGGCCCAAAACCGCATCACTGGGATCGGAAAGGAGCACTTTTGAAGAAGACTTCAATCTCAACTTGGACGTGACCCCGTCCGCCAACGTGACCTGTGTAGGGGTAGCTTCTTGCCATTCTTCCAAATCTTTTGCAGGTCGTAGGGCATGAGTTGCACCTGAATCAAGCAAAACCAGATCACCAGCATCATGCTCCAACTGGCTGATCTTGATCACACGCACCTGTGGCACTCGGAGGGACTTCAAAAGCTTGGTCGCTTCCTGAAGAAGGGTCTCACTTGTTGTTGATGTAGCCCCAGTTTCACCTCCCTTCGATGCCTCATTGGACTGCACCTCCCCCACCTTACCCTCAGACATACTGACCTCCATCTCCTGGATCTTGATGGGAGCCGTAGTAGAAGCAGTGGGAGCATAAGCAGTTGACGACGACGATTTTGAAGAGCCTTTTGCGCCATTTCCTCCCCCTGAGCCCAGACCGGGCTCATTTGTGTGGTTGCCCTCCTTGGTGTCCTTAACAGGAGATGGCTTCTGCTGAGACTTCAGCTTACATTCCGTTTTGCCATGATCCTTGCCACCGCAAATCCAGCATCGAGAATTCTTGTCTTCAATGCCTTCCCACGAATGGGACCATTTGCAAGCCTTGCCGGCTTTACACCCAGCTTCTGACCTGAAGTATCTGCAAGGCGTGGAAGCCATTGAACCACCCTTGCCTTTGTCCCCAGCTTGCATGCCCTGGGATGGCGTTGACTTTGTTGGAGCCTCCATCTGCTTCACCTTGATTGCGGATGGAACAGACGTTGGAGTAGTGCTCATCAATGACAGAGTCTCCACTTCCGCCAGCAAACATTGACTAAACCGCCAGATGCCCGCGTGGAGAGGTTGATGATCGATCCCCAGCTGGAGTCGACTTTGTGCCAATCTGAACGAAGCCTGAGCGTCCATCGACGCAATTTGAGCCACAGCCGGCTCCAATGCTTTCAGCAGCAACGTGCTGTCAGGTAGAATGGCACCAATCTCCTGAGCCCGAGAAAAATGCCTCCTCCATAACCTCAAAGCTGCTGCCAACTCCGTGACCCCTGTGGCTTTGTCCATGGTGGTCAACTTAGAGAGGAGTATTGCTTTCTCTCCGGATCCTCCTGGTTGGTACCGAACCAACAACCTGAACAACAGTGCCGTCGAGGTGAGCTCACGTGCGGTGATCAAAGCTTGCTGTTGATCTGCTGGAATGGCCCGCAAGAGCAAATGCACACCTCGTTGTTCCGTCCTCTGATAGCGGCCATCAAGCAACTCATCAGGCAACCGTGGCGAGATCTGAACCCGCTCCAGTGGCGACGACGTCTTCCAGCGTTCATAGTAGCACTGAGCTTCACGTGTAGTGAGGTTCCACCACCTGGCGCTGACTGCAGAGATGTCCCGCAACACAGGACCACACACTGCCAACCAATCTCCCAGCTCCAAAGGTGAAGCATCCGCGGAGAGCTCTGCTAATTCCGCTTTGCTGTTTCCAGAACCTTCATTCCAGGGTAAAGGCATAGTGGGCGGTTGACCACCCTCATCCCGCCAGCAACCATAGCCACCGTTCCGGTTGTAGTCGGGTACAGCCCCGCTAGAACCCACGAAATCACTTGCCGGTTCAAACATTCTGTACGTAGTTGAAGGATGACATACACCATCAGGATTAGGGGGACATACTTTATCACGTTCATGATCACCCGGAGCACCCATGCTAACACCAGCATAGTCCCCACGATGACCATGGTCTACACCATGACCACCATTGCCAAACAGCTCTTGGAGGTCATGTCCCCGTAGGCCTACACTGCCCAAATCCTGCGGTGGTGGTGGATGGACATCCTGAGAGCATGCAGCCACGCGGCCAGGACCCTGCGAAGCCTCCTGCATCCGCTCCATGGAGATTCTCAGTGCCTCCACCTCCTTTTCAAGCCGAGTTGCGCGATCGTCCCGAGGCGATTCTCCTGCGGCTCGAAAGCCTTCCCTTCTCGCACGCCAAGTGGCAACCAGTGTTGATCGCCTCGTCGACGGCGAAGTTCATCCAAGATCTCATACCCCTGAAGCAAACTAATTTCAGCCGAGTTGCATGAGGTAGGAGGTCCAAAAGGTGGCAACGGCACTTCTGGCAATTCAGGTGGTTGCCCATCAGGAACTTGAGTGCCGTTGGGCGTATAGCGAACCGCTGGCCGCCCCGAAAGCACCCTTCTGGTAGTAGGACTTCTCCTCCGTGGCGTATGAAGACCATCAACTCGGTTCTTTGACGAAGGCCGTTTGTCATCCGCTGAAACCCCTCCAGCACGCGACCGATTGCCCATTTCTTCGTCCCCGGTTGATGCGCACCCATTCCATCCGCAAACTCCCACGACGATGGTGCCGAAGGTGCCGACGACGAAGTCCCACCCGCCAGCTTCTTTTTCATTTCTTCTAGTTCCAGGCGCAGATGATCATTCTGCTCCCTAAGGAAAGTGACCATTTCCGCTTCCAAAGCCCGCTGCAAGTTCCCTTCCGACTCATGACCCCGCCTAGGCTTGGCTTGGACATGTTCAGGGGGCATAGGACCCATAGACTTGCACGGACCAGGAACAGGCTCACCAGCCATGTCCCCTGACGACATCCTGCCCTTCGATCTCTTTCCAGCGCCTTGCCCACCTCTTCCTTCAGGCGTCTGGTGGCTGGGTGGAGTGGCATAAACCCGCCCTCCTGTCGATAAGCCTCGACCCTTCCCTGTGCCACCAGTCATCCCGCCTTCCTCGAGGTCACCATCATCATGGGGCACCGGGAGATCTTCGGGTCTATGGTGTTGCAACCAAACCTCCTGTTGCACCCTTTCAGACCAGAAAGGATTCACCGGACAGAGTGATCTTGCGCGATCCATGGCGCAGCTAAAACCGCTAGTTTGGGCTCATAACCCTCGAAAGGCCAAAGGCACACTAACGCACCTTTTCTCAGCTCGAACAAGAAATGCCTCCATATTGGGCATACATGGTATTCACATCACTTCACAGAACAGTAATTGAATTTACTGAGTATGTCTTGTTCGATGGTGGTGCCATCTTTTGCAAAACCAGGTCAACCCTTCAAGTTGCCGCACCATGGCAAATATCCAATTGTGGCTAGGTGCACAATGCCTTCACCTTGACCATTTCATGCCAGTTCCCATTCTCAACATTCTGCCCCATCCTCTTGCCCGGCTTGCTAGAAACATGACGCGCCATCAGGCCCGGCTGCAAGTGGATCCGCCGCAACATGAGCATTGAGAGCGAATCACCACCCGGTCAGAAAATGTCAGAAATGGTTCAATTTTTTGTCCAATTTGTAGGCAACTGTTCTGAAGTGCAGATGTCTGCAAACCTAAAGGTTGCAAGACCTTTCCTGTTGTGGAAAGGGCTTGGGCATTGAGCGCAAGCTACCTATGCAGGTAGAGTGATGGTTGGTGCGTTTCTTTGTCAAAAGCTTTGCGAATTCATAGCGAATACCAACTGGACTCGATTGTATAATCTACTGAAAGGAGGCCTCTGCCATTCTTGCAATTTGTCCTCTGGGTTCTCCATGACAGTGCTACAATGGCTCTTGCCCCGTGACACTGTCGCTTCTTCGCGCTCGTGGTATTGAAGCGGGCTCGTGCGGAGACCCCAAAACCTGATATATATATATATATACCTGAGAAAGGAGAGGACGAAAGCCAGAGAGAGACCAATATGGTAGTGCAAAACTGGGAGGAAAAACGAGCGGAACTTATTGTTGAATGCCTGTAGCTTTCGTGGGGCTTGTATCAACGTGGAGTAGATCAAGATCGGAGCACGGCATGAAGTGTTGAACGTCAGTGAAGACCAGGAGAAGGATGCCCGAAAGGTGGTTTTTGGTTGTTTTCAACTGTGTTTTGGGCATCGTGCATCAATGCGAAGCCCTATAAAGAGATATAAAGAGCAGGGCTGGGAGAAAAAAAGAGGAGAGCACTCATTCTTGAATGGTTGTAGTTTTCGTGGAGCTGGTATCACTGCGACTGAGATCAAGATCGGAGCACAGCATGAAGTGTTGAACGCTTGCAGCTTTCTTGCTTCTCCTCTTGCGGCGCTCTTATCCCCAAGCCTCTACCTCGCCCAACTGGACATATTCACATCGTTCGCTCCCAGAGCGTTCACTCTTTGTTGCTTGGTCCTTCTTGGTATGATCAGAGCTACACAGTCCCTATGCCCTGCTCAGGACTAGAAAAATTGTTTCCAGACCCCTTCATGATGCTAATGATGCACTACTCGGCGTCCATTGCATCACTCGCATCACCAGACATCATGTTCACTGCTTTTCTGACCCTCGCTTTGGAGCGCTCTCCCCCACCAAGCTCCGGGTTCACCCTCTCCGATGGTGCCTTTTTGCGCCCTCCCCCGCCCCCCACACCCCCTTAACTCACTCCGTTCGCTCTAAGAGCGCAAGCCTAGCCTATCGGCTGGCTTTCGTAATATATATATATACCTAGGGCAAGCCACATTCAAAAGTACAAATGGATATTCTTATTAGATCTTATTAGATGACTCAAGATAATAAGTGCACCACCAATATGCACATACTGGGCGCTGCACATAGATGAAGGCTAAATGGAGGGTGTGTGGAGAAAGGAGGTCAGCAAAAATCACTTATACGAAGTTAGTGCATCAAAAATACCTTCTACGAAGTTCTGCGAAGGCTTCTGGGATTTCGTTGCAGTCAGTTCGCCTACTGGCCCACCATTCCACGAACTGTCCACGAACAGCCTTGGGTTCTACGAATGTCCCGCGCCTTCCACGATGTTAGTAGAATAGGCTTTTGCAAAACCCTTTCTGTGCACTACCCTTCCGTTTGCCTCTGAATAGAAACACTGCGAGCGGAAAGCGTGTCTGCGCATGTGGTTGCGCCGCTTGCGCCACCTGCGCCGCCTGCGCCACTTGCGCCGTTTGCGCCGCTTGCGCCGATTGCATCTTCTGCGCCGCCTGCGCCGTCTGCGCCGTCTGCGCTGTCTGCGCCACCTGCGCCGCTTGCGCCGCTGGCGCCGTTTGCGCCGCCTGCGCCGCTTGCGCCGTTTGCGCCGCCTGCACCGCCTGCGCCGCCTGCGCCGCCTGCGCCGTTTGCGCCGCTTGCGCCGCCTGCGCCACTTGCGCCACCTGCACTTTCTGCGCCGCTTGCGGTGCCTCTGACAGCCTTTCACACGTGACGCTCGGTGTGCGCTCGAGCGCCAGAGGACCAGCGCTGCGGGCGTGCGTTCGATCGTTGGACAGAACAACAACCTCCTCAAGGCTGACGCGTTGAAAAACGCAAGAAACTGGGGCGGAGGGATTGGGTCTCTGAGTTAGAGTACGAAGATGGCACATATACAATTGACAGCTGCAAGCAGCAGCCCAAGCTACTTCAACCTTTTCTACCGGCACGCTGGTCTACCGGTGAGAACGGTGTAAACCTTGCGCTTAAGCAGTCAATCCCACGTACCGACCAAGACCTTTCAGGTCACAGCGTTAGTGTTCCTGATTCGAAAATGAAAATGTCCGTTGGGAGCGCGAAAAGTCGAAAAGTCGAAAGCTCAAAAAATTGATTTTGGCTTTCGGACACATTCGAAAAGGAAAAGAAAAACATCCGAAAAGTTGAAAAGTTCATTTTGTCTCGGGCCCAATCGAAAAGTCACAAATTCCGAAAAGTCGAAAAATCCGAAAAAGTCGAAAAGTCAAAAAACGAACGAATCCAGTGTCCTTTCCAATGTAAGTCACTAAGTCACGCTGAGTCACGGGCGACAAAGAACCTTCCATGGACCCTTCTACTTTAGAAACATTGAAAATTTCAACAAACATTGCAAGGTTGGGAGTTCGGACCGCCAGTCTAAGGCATCAGAAAGAATTAGACGTTAAGGTGGTTCTGGCGCTTCCAGCCTGGGAGTTTCGAATGACACTCTTGAGAGCGGTTATCCTCCTTGGAAATGGCTGCGGTTTCCTGAAGAAGTGCCAGAAAAACAACATTGCACGATGAAGCGGATGGAGCGCATGGAGCAGATGGTGCGGATGAAGCAGATGGTGCGGATGGAGAGGATGGAGCGGATGGAGCGGATGGAGCGCATGGAGCAGATGGTGCGGATGAAGCGGATGGTGCGGATGGCGCGGATGGAGCGGATGGTGCGGATGGAGCGGATGGTGCGGATGGAGCGGATGGTGCGGATGGAGCGGATGGTGCGGATGGTGCGGATGGAGCGGATGGTGCGGATGGAGCGGATGGTGTGGATGGAGCGGATGGAGCGGATGGAGCGGATGGTGTGGATGGAGCGGATGGAGCGGATGGAGCGGTTGGAGCGGATGGAGCGGATGGTGCGGATGGAGCGGATGGTGTGGATGGTGCGGATGGAGCGGATGGTGCGGATGGAGCGGATGGTGTGGATGGAGCGGATGGAGCGGATGGAGCGGATGGTGCGGATGGAGCGGATGGAGCGGTTGGAGCGGAAGACGCTGATCCCTCTCGCAATGCATAGAAACAAGGTGTTTCAGATTGTGCATAGAACTTCACTCGCAGGGCAGGGATCTTTTGTCCATCAACTCAGGTCAAGCTTGCTGCAGCCTGGAACATCCGGCTCAAGAGTCAAAACATAAGTGAAGGGGAAGCAGCTGTGGAAACAATCACCTATCACACAACTGCTAGTCTGTCGGCCGAGGTTTGGTTCTTGTCGCGTAGCTGCACCTTTGACTTCAACAAACATCATTGGGCATGATGATTGATTGTTGCCACTGTTTCAGATCGATTCCAATTGGTGGGCTGCAAGTGTAAGCATCCACTGGCACAACAAAAGTTGTAGATTGGATAATCTACATAGACTGAAATGTTGGCTCAAAATGCTTAAACTCTAAACACTATCCAGGCAACTGGTCAAGCTGTGAGTCAAGACCGCAATCATGAATCATGAAAACAGTCCGAATACACAACGTGAGCAGCAGGCAGCTCTACCTCGCCAATACTCCACAGCCCCCATCCGCAGCTGCAAAAGCAACTGCGTCAGGGCAGGTGCAGCCCCTGGCTGACCGGTCATCTGTGGCAACACGGCCTCAAATGGTGACTACGGACGGCAGAAGTGCCCTTAGTTACTGCACCTCCTCTTGCAGGGAGGTGAGGACTCTTGTTGGACCCCTCAAATGCTCTTTACTCTTCGAGAATACTACTGTATTGCGCTTCCTCAAACTTACAGCAATGGGCTACTCGTAGGATGAAAGCTTGCACCTCTGGAATCAGAAACAAGATGGAACACACGAACCCGAATGCAAACACGTTCCAAAAACTAATATGTCCAAATGACACTCTTGTAGGACACTCTTGTGGGACACTCTTCTGGGACACTCTTGTAGGACACTCTTGTAGAACACTCTTGTAGGACACTCTTGTGGGACACTCTTGTAGGACACTCTTGTGGGACACTCTTGTGGGACACTCTTGTAGGACACTCTTGTAGGACACTCTTGTGGGACACTCTTGTGGGACACTCTTGTAGGACACTCTTGTGGGATACTCCTGTAGGACACTCTTAAGGGACACTCTTGTGAGACACTCTAGTGGGACACTGTTGTGGGACAGTCCTGTAGGACACTCTTGTGGGACACTCTTGTGGGACACTCTTGTAGGACACTCTTGCGGGATACTTCTGTAGGACACTCTTAAGGGACACTCTTGTGAGACACTCTAGTGGGACACTGTTGTGGGACAGTCTTGTAGGACACTCTTGTGGGACACTCTTGTAGGACACTCTTGTGGGACACTCTTGTGGGTCACTCTTGTGGGACACTCTTGTAGGACACTCTTGTGGGTCAATTTGTGTTCCCACAGCCGCAAGCATTCATCCCAAGTCCACAAAAGAAGAATTCCAGCCTCGTAGAACAGCTCATCAGGACAACTGGTATGGGCCTGACACAATAGGATCAGGGTTAAACCATTCCACTCGGCAAACCAGTGCGAAGTGTCCTTTCCCATAGCTACCTACCACAGTTCGCTGGGCGTGGAAGTTAGCCAAGCCAATGTTTTTCTAGTCTAGGCAACTACTTACGCCACTCACGGCAGTTTACAAGACTCTCAATGTCACAACGGGCCTGCAGGCGTAAGAGCTCTTGCCAACGCCGACCCGTCCCCAAAGCTTTGGACACAGCGCTGTGAGAAAGCAGGTCAGGGCGCAGGACCACCTGAGGCGTGGCAGCTGTCTCATGCCACAAATCGATAAGAATGACCTGTGTTGTCACGGTCCGCCCTGTTGTTCATGCATCATTTTGCTGTGTATATGTGATTCTAGACGTATCGGCATCAGCTGGCATCAGCTCTGATAGTCGATCACTTGGACTGTGAGCATGCGCAGCCCAGTTGCAACTTGCCTGGCTCATGGATGACATTATTTGCGTGGCCACTGACCAGGTACCCTCACAAGCCTCGGCAGGAAGGCGTGAGGGCAGCGCCGGCAGAGAATGGTTCTTGGGTCTGGACAAGTGCGACTGGAAGAGCCCAAATTTCAATAATTATGCTTAAACTTGAGTGCCTTGTCCATGTCCAGTTGTGACATTGAAAACACCTAGACTCCGAGCTGCTTTGAGCACGGAATTCATGGTGATCAGGCTGGTGGATGGCAACACCCGGAGAGAGACCTCCCATATCCTCAGGAAAGTAGGGCACAGTTTTGTGTTATTTTATCGTTTTTATTTGTGCTAGTGTTCTATTGCTTTTTCCAATCTTTATTTTGACTTGTCTTCCTGCCTTTCTTTCTTCCTGTTTCCCCTATTCAACATACCTGTACACATAGGTGACTGTAACATACTGTAACTATATACATGCTTTCGTAAACCAAAGGGGTGGGTGTGAAAAGGTGTTTGCTCAGGCTGCATGACACGTCACATGAACATACTTCATCACAAAATAGCAAAGACACGCTTCTCTGGCACAGGCATCGGCCGCTGCCCCAAGGATGACCTGCTGTCAGTTCAAACCGAGTGCAAGTGCTTTTCATGTGTCGTTATTATCTTCCAGCCCAGCATACTGCTCTTTCAAGCCACGGTTCTGAACCTCCACAAGGCATCAAAAGGCCATCACTTTCCTCTCTTTCCCAGACTCATTGACTGAGGCCCTTGAAAGTCCAATTTCCAAAAACGACTACTCTGCAGGGAGGTCGCAAACAAACGCATGGCCTTGTCGTGTTGGAGGCCGGATTGGCAGACTTCTGCCAAAATCTGACATGACATCTCCCACCTCGCAAGGGGTGGATGGTGGTCCGAGTCCCTGCCCCCGACTGCCGTGACACATCAACACAGGTTCAACGTCCATTTCCAGTTCGGATCTATCACAGTCAAAATTCGACAACATTGCAATTGCACAAGCATACGGTCAAACCGTGTCGAACATGGGATTCAGCATCTGTATGCACAACATTGCACAAGCATGTGTTGACCTGTTTGACCCGACAAGCAACTTTTCTTCCACCTCCCTGTCTTCCCATAGCACCGCAGCGCCGCACCAAGCGCAGCTGTGTCCAGACAGCGAGTACGGCGCATGAGGTTAAGAAATTCCTCAACCAAGTCCGCTTGAAGACCTCGATATAAGGCGCTCAAAGAAGTTACCCTACTTACTTGGATAGAACTTCAAGTTATACTGTAGCTCAAAGGGCTTCATGGCATGGACTTGAAAACATGCAAAGGGACGCAAACCTGGAAGACCCACACCACGTTCCCATTGGGTGCCATGGAGCCGGGTAGCGCATCCAACACGATGGCATGGCTCACTGCGTCCTGGGAGCCAGCAAATCTGTGGCATCATGATTCATGATGATGCGGACATGATCTTCTTCCTGTTGTGTGATGCCAAAAGTAATCAAGCACACAACACTACACAGTAGTAATTAAGCACAAAAGAGTTTGCCAGTCGAAAGGCTTCAATCGTACGTTAAACTCGCTCATTGACGCTCAGCATTGACTGTCAGTCTCAAGCACGCGGACATGGCGGACAAACACAGGAGAAGGAGAAGTGTGCAAGACGCAACATTTGGATCAGCGAAACGCTGGACTTTGTGCCACGGTGCGGGGACCACCGTCACCTCGTCCATCTGCCAAAAAATGCCAAGCGCCAGCTCCCAATGTCGTGCCACTGCGCAGCCATTGATGAGGGAATTGTAGCCTCATGTTTTTTTTTAAAGGGGAGGGGGGGAAGGCCGTGTAGAGGTAGCTAGTAGCTAGAGGTAGGTAGCTAGTAGAAGCAAGGGAGTCACTAGTAGCTACAGCACGCTCCTACATATGGACTCAAGGAAGCCCCCCGCGCTAAAGGCGCCGGGGGGAGCTTCCGTGAAGAAGCGCTCACACTATTCATTTGGTTCCCAGATTTTTAGGAAAGCTTATCTAGCAGCAAGTGTAGCTCCACCAGGAACACAGCTGGACGGAGTTAGAATGAGTTAGCTCAACGGCTCAACGCGTCGTGAAAACAACAAGCTTTCGCTGACGTCTCTACCAACAGAACTGAGCTTCAGACTGATGGTGTCGAGCTTAAAGCCTTGTTTATTCCTGAGGCAAGTCGTATGCGAAATGAACGGCGGGATCTTTGATGGTCGGAGGTGCCGGTGTTTTGAAGCTTAAGCGCAGGGTTTCAATTGACCATGGAAAGAAGAAGGCTTTGATTCAGTCTATGAAGGAGAGTCTTGGATAACTACCGTAGCACAAAGCAGGGGATTGCGAGTTCTCGAGCACTGATCAAGTCCGAGCGTCGCTGTGCTGAACACATGAAGACTGTAGCGCCATTTCCCAGCCGCACTGCAAGCACCCATGGCCGAGTTGAAGCTCACCAGTGTAGGGGACAGACTTTGCCACAGTAAGTGCAAGGCCTCACACATGATTCCAGCAACGGGTCTTGCCTGCCTTGACAGATACGTCTCACCGCAATAGTGCCACGCGGGGAAATGAACTGCGATCTCTGTGTGATGATTTTGATGGGCTATAAGTATAAACAAAGCACCGCACTTTGCTCATGTGATCTACGAGTAATTAAATATGTTGAAATGGCAAGCTACAATAGAAGTGCATCCCTTTCACAACGTGTCTGGACAGGGGATGTGTTCTCCACTGGTTCATCGCCAAGCATCTTCTTGCCACAGACTTTGGGTCTCCATTGCGGAGATTGCCTCGGCCATTGCATGGAACCAAGCGCCCCGAGCTTGTCTATCAGCTCAGGGAAGGACTCCTTTTCAAGCCTAGCCGGCCTAGGCACACTCTTTCCTGGTCACTCTACGACGGGCTATCAAGCGGCTTGTTCATTCTGTTGCGTGCAAAAATGTCAAAACAAATTCACAATACAGGCTGCTTAAGCCATGTGTAGCGGCTACTGTCTCATCCAGCTGTCTCTGTGTGTGTCATTCTCTATCAGAGCAGGCGCAGAATTTGCCGCAACAATGTTGCTCGGCTTCAAGACATGCAGCGCCTCGAGTCCAAAAGACATCGTGAGTGGAGCATCAAAAACATAGGTAGATCGAGCTTGTGTGGTCGTGGAGCACTCTCATATATGAGTGCGAATGGAAGTGAACTCACCATCACCGTCACCGAGCAATGGTAATGCTCGACAAATATCCACATAAACCCCAATGACATCTCTCTCATCTCTCCTCAGCTGCCTGTTGCCACCTTTGTCGCTGAGACGACACGGCCGTGCCGAAGGTGACCTCACTGAACACCATGCGCTTTCGCCTTGGTGTATCAACCCCATGCAGGTCACCGCAGAATGTGGTAATGGCAAGGGGACGCTGATCCTGATGATGATTAGTGTAACACGCGCAATGCTTACTCTATGCTGCAAAATGCTGCAATGGTTTTGCCTTTGTGTTGTTACGGAGTTTCAGTTTAGTTTGATTCTGAGATCGGGCGGACACCCCTCATGCTAAACAACCGCTGGAAGGTTCACAAAACTGCATGCGTTTTGTAGCGGAACTTCCCCTGCTTATATAACCTAATCCCAGGCACTTTTTGCCCAAAGTGTGCAAAACCTATGCAAAGTACAGGCCAACTCGGCTGCGAGCCAGAAAAGGGTTTCTGCATGTTCCTTGACACAGCATCACGTCAATGAAACCTGAGAAGTGTTTCTGCTTTCAAGTGCTTGTGACCTGCAGTTCTGTCTAGGGTCTAGTCAGCGCGGGTGATCGTACAAGTAGCATGTGGTGATGGATGAACACACCTTGAAACCGTTGGCCAAGTGTTGTGTTTGTGCGTGTGTCTTCTTCTGGCCTGGGCACGTCATTTGCACCAACCACTGCAGAGCGAGCCACCAGTGACCTGCGCGGCCTGCAGCATCCACAGCACAGTTCATGCTGGCGGTGTTGCCCGCATACCCTGGCAAGGCACGATAAAGAACTGGCTTACTGTATTTTGACGAAGTTTCCCTGGAGAAGAGCATCCAGGATATGAGGTCATTAAGGTGAAGCCAGTCAATACCATTTATGTCCTTGATTCCCACCGCCAACCTGTTGTGAAAAGCTACCCTGCGGAATCAAACAAGTTCTTTGGAAAAAATTGCCAACACCTGGAGGCACCTGCGAGGTGCTGCATCACTTGTCGCCAGTGACCTTGCTGTCCAAGGGCGCTGGCCACTGAATTGTATAGAGCTGTGTCTGTACCTTGCCGCAATGGAGCTCGGAAAGTTTGTAAGTCAATCTTTCATAAGCTTGGAACCTGTGAAAAATTCTGAAAAGTTTTTCGTAAGTTTGATAAAAGCTCGCCCTACTGGAGACAGCCCACGACGCTGCGAGCGGGCCACTGTGCGGAAACGAGCGGCGAAAGGAAAAGCTTGGGCACCCAAAGCATCAAGACTGAAAAATAGCATGAGGCAACTGTCATCATCGATGATTGAGGCCATTGCTAGTAGGTTGGAGGCCATCGCTAGTTTCTAGCCCTCAGGCTCTTGTCTAAAAGTAAACTCTTGATGGCAAAATCCAGCATGGTATTGGTAGTGGGCAGCCAACTCAATGCAAGTACGAAAGGCGAAGCTGTGAACAATGCAATGGATGGCTAAGTACAACCTGTAGTACCTGTATGGATACTATATCCAACAAAAGGAAACCAAGGGAATCCGATCCTTCCAAGAGCAATCCACAAGCTCTATGTTTCATCACGCAGCCGAAGGTCGACCATTGGTCAAGTCACTGGCAAAAGGATGTCCTATGGATTTTGGGCCGAGGATGCATCGGGAGGCCAACAAACATGGAATCCGTACCTGTCAACCTCGTTTTCCAAGATGCCCCAAAAACCTTGGCTGAAAGATGCATCCGCGGTCGCACCATCGGACATGCTCTGCTTCTTGCGCAGTTTCTTCGCGCTTGTGAAGTCAGGGTCGTAGCCAAGCGTCCAAGGTCCTTCAATCAAGGACTTCTGAAGCACGCCAGGTGGAAGCGGCTTCATCAAAGCATCGGCCAGCTGGGCATTTGAATGCACCCATCTGACCACAGTGGAATTGGATTCGAGCGACTCAAGCAAGCAAAGCACTTCCAGCGCCGTGAATTTGTCTTTCAAACCGGCGCCGGAGGAATTCAAATCCCTCTTGAGAAGCGCATCGTAAAGCGCCTTAGCGTCAACAACAACGCCACCGACGACCTGTTTCACCGCGTCGGATGGCTTCTTCAAATTCACAGGCACTCCACAAAACTCAGCCCATGCGAGCCGAGTGAACATCAGTTCCTGGTCGCACTCTGCGAGTGCCTGAGTTTCAGCACTCAGCGATGACCTTGCCTTCCTTTGGAGGCGGGCCGATCGCCAGGAGACGAAGGAAAGTGGGCTTCTCTTGCTTTCAAACATTTCAGGAGTGGTGGCTGCAATCAGGTATCCTCCTGTGGAACCTAGGTCCTTGCGGTTTGCCAAGGCAGCATCCGACCACCCTACAAAGCAAACATCTAGAGGATCCGAAAGGTGCAGCTGATTCACCTTCACTGAAACATGCCTGGTCTGAAAGGCCTCACGAACTAGCTTGTTTGCGGCCCTCAGGGTCGCCACAGTTGCAGTGTTGATCTCGCTCTGAAGTTGTCCAAGCCTGGCTGATAGCATCGGCGAGGACTGGTTGACACGCCACTGCAAGGCACCCAACACGCCACGAAGCTGTGTGAGCTCTTCGGAGGTCGCCAACTCGATGGTCTGCCCTGTTGCGGAATTCAATCTGCTCAACACCCTCAATGAACTTTGAATGGTCCAAAACAAAGCTGTAATCCGGTTGCTCAATGATCTGCAGTCCACAATGTGAAAAATTGCTATGCTCCCACGGGGGCCACTGAAACCGACTGTAAAACCGGGTCAGCTTGGATACCCATTCATCACTTTGCTCATTGCCGGACACCAGAAAATCATCGACGTGTGCGCAGACATAGCCTAATGTCGTCCGTCGCTGCTCATTGGAACCTGAGTCCGTGTCCTTAGATGAGTATTGCAGCCAAAGGCGCGGGTCCGTCTTGCTCTGCACAAAGTCGAGGTCCTTCAAGGTGTCCCTGATGCATTGGAACCATGAAGCCGGAGCATTGACCAAGCCGTAGCAGGAGTTCACCACCTGGACAGCCTGGCCATCAGGGATGCCCAAAGCTCTTGCAAGCTCTGGCACCGGCAGAGCAAACAGGTTGCGGTTCTCCTCCGTGCGCTCGCCCTGGAGGAAAGCGCTTTTCACATCTCCCTTGAGCACCCTCCAGCATTGCACGCTGGAGTATTGCAGCGCTAGCTGTCTTGTCCTTCTGGTCATCGTAGGGGCGGCACTCTGAATGCTGGCGAGATCAGGGTCTTCGTAGCCAATGGGGACGATGCGTCCCCTGGCTGCGCCGCTTTCTTTGTGGGTTAACACCCATCGCATGCGGACCAATCTGTCTCGAGGAATCGGTCCAATTGCCTTCTTCACTGCTGAAGCGGCTAGCCATTGGGAAACTTCTGCTTGATTTGCCACTGCAAATTCTCTTTTCTTGGCCTCGCTCAATTCGTGCCATTTGACTTCAACACCTTTGAGCTTTTTCACAAAGTATGCCTCCGCGTTCCTCTTCAAAGATCGCCACTCTGAAGATCTCGAAGGCAGCGGCAGCTCGATGGCGCAAGCCAAGTTCGGATTGCGGAATGAGCCGTCGTCAGCCAGGAATGAAGTGGCCAGCAGCTCGTCGTCTGAAGCACCGTGCTGTCGCCTCTGTTTCTTGAAGAGAGGCTGCTCAAACAGCTCAGGCAGCTTGCGGCCTTCTCCAGTCGCCATGGGTTGCGGCTCGTACGACGGGTCGCTGATCAAGCGTCCCAAATCTACGCCGGTCGAGCGAGGTTCACTTTGGATCCCGCTGGAAGATGATCCCCTAGGGTTTCTTGGTTTTGGGGTCGTATTCTCAGGGGGATTGAACGCTTCCTCAAGCGTCATGTGTTCCATTTCTTCTATTGTTCTTGACATCTTGGCTCTTTGATGTACCCCTCCATCGCCAGAAGTCTCTTTCACAAGTCTTTTCGGGGTCTTTTCACTTTCTTGGCGGACATCTTCTCGGGTCCTTTCTTGGGCATCTTCTCGGGCCCTTTCAACTCCTAGCCTGGGAACCGAAGAACTCCGCCTCATAGTCGCCGGTGTAGATGGGACCTCAGGGCCAACTGAACGAGACCTTCTGGGCGTCTTTGGCGCTCCACGGGAGACAATGTCTTCTGGCAGCAAATAGTCGTCCAGAATTTCATATTCTCCCTTCCATAGGCTCTGAGCGAGGTCCAGGTTGTGGTAGGAGAGCTCATGCCTTCAGCGATGGCCTGTTCTCGAGCGGAAGCATGTCGCAACTGTTCTGGAGAGCATCGTTTCAAACGGCCTTGCGAAACCAACCAGATGATGCTGCTCGGCTTTCTCTCCATCCCTTTTGCGTCCGTCCTGGTTTCTGAGGCCACTTGGATGACCGCCCCGGTTGCTAAGTGTTAGGAGATTTAGTAAATGAATTACAAAGGGCTTATAAACCTTCTAAGGCGAATATAAGTTGCCTATGTGCGCGTAACCAGTTAGTAGTTTCTAGAACTATTTAGAAAGAATTGATAAAGGGTCTAACATGTTAGAAGACTTAGGAGTCATATTTTCTTAAATGTTCTAATCGGTTTAGGCTACTTATATAAGTCAGTAGGGTTGACTTAGCTAAGTGTTATAAGTCAGTTGTATGAACTTAGCTAAGCAGGCTAAGTCGACTTAGCTAAGTGGGTTAGTGGACTTAGCTAAGTCATCTAAGTCGACTTAGCGAAGTGGGCTAAGTCATCCAGAAGAGAGAAGACATGGCTATTTTTGATGTCTTGATTACAGAACTTAGCAAAAGATTCTACGCCCGAAAAGGCGTGCGCTGTGCCCTTGTGCAGGGAAGCGCTGTACACAGAGGTACACAGTGCAAAGCCAAAGCGCTCAATGTTTCCTTTTTTTGAACTGATGTGATTTCTAGAACTTTTTGCTATATGTTTGCGTGGAGAGGTATTGTGAGTTTTTTGGTACGAAATGGGGTCACCATTTGCCAACCGCAGGCATGTCTGGACTGCCTTGTGGACGGGCACGCTGGCTCAGGCACGCACCCCCCCTTCAGCTCATGACATGAGAGAGTTGACCGTATTTCGTCGAGTTGAGTTTGTTTGCAGCAGCTCTCCTCTGGTTCCCTGTTCCCATGCGTGAAATTGAACGTTTTGTATATATATATATGTATATGCTCCATGTGTGGTTTCTTTACCGCAGTCCGGGGAAGTACACGTGTCCGTGCGTTTTTCGAATGCGTGCAGGGCTCTGGCTCGCACTTTGCGCAGGGTACTCACTCGCGCTTCTTGTGCAGGGCTCACCTCAGGAAAAGCATGCCCTCCTAGAGGAATTGAAGCGACAGTTGAAAGGTCAGAGGGAATTCCTTGCAGCCGAAAGTACTCGAGTTTCCAGGGGATCCTCGATCGTGCCCTGGTCTTGAGCAGACTTTTGAAGGCGATGAGCTTATGCCTTTGGAAACAGCTGCGCACAAGCCCGGAAAGTGGCTGAGGTCATCGTCGAGGGATTTGAACCCTTCTCAAAAGGTTGTCCCGGCTGCGCCTCAGGCATGCCACGATATGATGAACAATCCGTTCATGCAGATGATGTGCGCCATGGTCATGCAGGGCCAGGGCCAGCAGCACCATCAGGGTGGGGCCAATGCGATCAACCTCAAGGTCTACAACACCAACAAGCGAAAAGCAATCCCTGCGATTGAGGACGCTCCAGCCAAGGATGAGCCCTCTGAAGCAAAGGTGGCTGAGGACCCTCCAGCCAAGGCCGCCCCAGCGCCTCCACGCTCTGCTCTTTTTACATTGCCCGCCGCTGCAGACGACTCCCAAGAGGCAGCGGAGGCCATGGTGGAAGAGCACCTGCAGACTATGAGCCAGGCCTATGGAGCGAGACCCAAGGGTGGTGCTAAGTCCAAGGCTGCTGTCAAGAAGAAACCCGTGACAAAGCAGGCACCGCAGAAAAAACCTGCCATGAAGCCTGCCATGAAGCGTGAGCAGTTTCCACCGCTATTGCTGAAGGATGGCACAGAAGTTTCAGCTGCTGTGAGGGCTCGCTTCCCCGAGGGGTGTTCGAAATGTCGGTGGGTTCGCGGCTGCACGCGATCATGCTTCGATCTCAACCGACGTAGGCTGGATTGATGTG